TTAGTGCTCTTCTGTAGATTTAAGTTATCAACATGTTTTATTCCAGACACAGCATGTTTGCTGTGTCTGGAATGATAACGCTATGGACTGGCCCAATCAGAGTCCCTTCAATTTGACAATCAAACTGCAGCAAAAGCTGATGATTAGGTCAAAAGGTCCATTAGTTATTTTTTTAGAAGACTTTATAAAAGCATTTAGATATACATAAAACGTTAGATATGGAGATATGGTGTGTTCATTAAACAATATTACTAAAATTAACTAAAATGTCTGTTTTCTTAGTTTAATACAGTTTTTAGTGCTTCTTTCATCAACCTTCTCTACATAACTGATGAAGAAACTGAACATTATGAAATTCAGGAAAATGACATTTTCTTAGTTTGGTATTGTCACCTGGGGTTCCTGGGATTCGTGTCAGCTTGACCAGATTCTCAGCCTTTCGAACCATCACTTTGATGCGCTGAGCCAGGCTCTGGTACTGCAGCAAAATTAAGAGTTGTCCTAACATCCGTGGAATGCCGACTGAGCTTTTCCTGCGTCCAACAGTCTCCCGATAGCTAAAACTCTGAAGACAAGGAACAGTGAGAATCTACAGGTTAAAATTCTACATTTGGTAGAAGGGAAAGCATTAGTTTTTCACTTGATTTGATTTGGATGATGAAGTATGCATGAGGCACTTAAAGGTAGAAGTCGTAACTTTTCACATATTTTTTGTTTTCATTTGACCACTAATGAATAGTAATAGATGTCTATGCTCTTTGTCACTTCAGATAAAAGCAACAGCTGATGTGTAACACTCCCGTTAATTTCCTGTCAACTTTCATCAGCGCAGACTGTGAAAGGTCCAGTGAGTCACATTCTGCCGTCAGCTGAATGAGTGTTAGTCCATCGGGGACTGATGGAAGTTAGAGATCCAAGGCTCATTTATTCAGCGTGATTGTTTCAGTTCACTGCTGCTGTCAATACAGCTTCACCTTTAGACAATATTACTCAAATGTACAACACCTTTTTAAGTGATGGTTCCAACTGAGCAAGGAGGGGTTTCCTTTTTCTCTGTGAAATTAAATTATCTTTTAAGAGACATGATTAGCTGAGAGTTTGAAATAATTTTCCAGCAAATTGTCAAAATCATTTGCAGTGACAAAAAAAATAACAATAGCTGGGATAGTGAAAGTGCACAGGTAGATAAGATGATCTCCCAATAGAGTTGGTATTTTTGACCCTAAAGTAAAATAATTGGATTACCGGTATATGGACCTTTAATATGAAAATTGTGTTTTTATTTTTTCTTATTTTTCAACATTACATTGCAAGTTCTTTCCCTTATTTCAAGTTCTTTCCCAGTTATTTGAAGAAAATGTTGATTTACTCATATTTTATGCTGATGAAGGTTCTCAGTCGTAGTCATTCCGTAAAAATTCACAAAATATCCACTGGACTTGGTTTCCAAGGTTTGAAGACGTTTCTCCACCTCTCCGGGAAGCTTTCTCAATCCAAATGTCTGGATCCGCAGTGAGTTTGAGTCTTATATGGACCGTCTATATAAGACTCACTTCTCCAGTCTTCCTGGAGAGGTGGCATTAGAACATTGTCACTCAAACAGTACTGTGAATTTACGTGATATTTATTGTATATGTCTGCCTTTCAGCAGGTTTCTTAAAAAAACAAAATAGAAAAAAATACTTTTTTCTATCCTTGCTGACTGATGTTAACTTGATGTTTGTTCTGGATTATGGATGCTTCATATTAAATTTTTTTTTTTTAATTAACTATTTTTATTATTGCCTGCAGTGTCAGAGCCTTTCATTCCAACAAAATGTGTAAAGTACAGAAGATTTATTGTCAAAACGCCCACTGATGACATCACACTGATTAGAAAGACTATGTCAGTCTGTACTGAAAACAATGGTACATTAAAGCTGTAGCCTAAGGGTCCAGTCTCTGTAGAAACTTTTCTTCCTTTATATCCATGGATGCAGAGCAACCTTGCTTTCTCTGTCCAGCAGCTGCTCCCACTATGACTTTTTTAAGATGATGCTGTGGAATAGGAAGGAAAACCTGTAATTTGACACAAAAATGTCTTCCCCAACAAGAACAGTGCAGCTCGCAACTAAATAAAGTAGAATAAAACCTCTGGTTCACCTCCCTTCAAAAGGCTGAGATTAATGCCTTTTGGCAGAGTTGCAGCTGAGTCACAGAGAGCACCGCGTGGGCGATCATCCAATTTGTTTCACTCGGCCTGCTCGCTCTGCAGTCCCAGACAGCAGTGTGACTAACATCTCAAGAAAACTGGCTAATGGCATGGCTTATTAGACGCTCAGTGTGATCATGGATTAAATATATGTTCTCTGAAAGGGTGCAGGAAAACTTTCCCTATTCATTAAATCAAATTTTCAAGACGTTGAGAAGTAACTATTTTAGCGAATCCGTGATGCATTCACTGACACAGAAAGCATATAAATCACAGAAAAACACAAATGAATGAGGTTTACATTTAAAGATGAAGGCATCATAAAACATTTCAAAGCTTTGGTCTATATTGTTTTCAAACTGTGATAATTGTCTGGAACTTTAAAGGAAAAACAAGCATGGTAGAACAAAATTAAAAGTATAAAGACGAGAACAAAACTGAAATACCTTTGGTGTGCACTGGAACTGCAGATCTGAAAACTTTTTAGAGTATAAGTCTCCCTGTGAGCATCTTTTGTTGCTTTGAATGAAGGCTGGACTAAAATTATTTGTATTTCATTCATTTGTTTGCTTTTGTAATTGGAAACCATAGTTATTATATTAAGAAGACGATTTAACATTTATATTTATGATTGTCTACAAAATGTGAGATTAAAGGAGCAACATTTGAAGACAATGTGATAAATATCAGATAAGTGGCCCTTAAAAACTGGTTTGCTAAACTTTTATACATTATGTGTGCATTCAATGTGTGAAACAGAACAGGAAGCAATTAATGGCATGATTTCCAAAAAATGTATGTGTATCAGGCCATCTTCACAATGCCAATAATTCGTACAGTACACATAATAGTAGCATAAAAATGGTCCAGATAAATCTTATTTGGTACTTGCTGAAAATATAAAAATCTTTAGTAGAGATATTCCTTTAGAAAAAATAAAGCATCTTATCCAGCTCTAATCCTCCTCTGCCAATAGAGATATCTTCATGATATTTGTAAACCAACCTCACCAGGTTTTAGGAAAGGAAACTCATGAAACAACTTTCTGAAACAAAAGGGTATGCATGGATTTAGCCCAAGACTGACTCTGGATTACCACTAACCCTTCTTTGTGAAACAGGACCCCATTGATATTTAGTTTTGTTTTAGCATCTCTTAAAGAACTTTAGTTCAAACTCTGGTTTGGTCTCAATTCAAGTCCTTGAGGTCTGTTTCATAATCTTGGGGCTGATGACTGGCTTAATTACTCATTTCATTCACCTGTTTAATTCCACCCAGTTTCTCATTACTGCTCATCATATCCACATGTTCCAGTTTTTATTTAAACTGCTTGCTCCCAGTCATCAGGGCCTGTTTATTTTTGAGCCTTTGGTGTGAGAGTTTTCTAGCGGTACTGATTGTGTTCGGATTGCCTGATCCTGACCCATTCTGTCTTCGGACCTTTGAACCTGCCTGTCCCTGTTCTGATCTGTTTGCCTGACCTGTTTTCAGACTCCTGTTGGATTGTTCTTGTGGAATGTACCTGGATCTGCCTCTTGACTTCGCCCTCTGAATTATTTTGCTTTTCTTTGCCTGCTTAGATCTGACATCCTGCCAGTTCTGTAGCTTTCAAGGCTTCAGCGTCTGGAACTCTCTGGGCAGCGTCCACTACGTCTTGTCCCCCTACTGGCTGGAATCTACCATGTTCTCTGGGCACAGACTGAACTGTTAGACCAGGTTAGTGACTCACGTGTTCATAATCATCCTCCGTCAGATTATGGTCATGTTGAAACTGACTCTAGGGAGATTGCTGAACTTCCTGTACCTACAGCCACAGCAACATTACGGTATCAGCTTCAGCCTTAAAATCCCTCTAACCATCGATCTCTAGTTCACACTTCAGGTCTTGATGCTACATTGTTTTTGCATTGCTGTTCAGATTGTTTACACGTCACATAGCAGGACACTGGTTACAGAGATAAAAACAGATCTGTGTGTTATTGAACAATGTTGATGGTGTGTGAGTTTAACATTTTTGAACAATGGTAGCTGAAAATATCATGATCACATTATAAAGAGACAGAGACAGGCACAAAAAAACTGAGTTAAAATGCTTCCAAGTTGTTTCTGTGAAGTAAAGATGGCTGTGCTGGAGAGCAAACTGTTTGAATGAGTAGTTAGAGCCTGGATGATGAAGTCAGACATAAGCGTTGAGACTCCTCAGAAACGATCTGACATGTATATCATTTAATACCACATACGGAGGTCGCCCAATTGAAATTTTTTGGGAGGTGAAAAGATCAGAATGTTCTGACTACCATGTAAAAGTTCGCAAAAAAAATTTGGTTTTGACTAAGATTGTGAACGCAGGCATTTTCAGTGCTGAAATTGGTACTGTAACTTTTAATCAACTTCTGTGTTAAACTTTTCAACAAATATAAAAAGCTTTTCTCACATCTACCTTTTTCAGCTTGTTTTGACTCTGCATGAGCTGCTTGGTGTAGGTAATGCTAGAGTCAGGCTCCCACTCTATCTCGTCACAGGCCAGCTCCACTTCGCCCAGAGCAGCCTCTCTTAGCCCTGAGAAATCCCTGCTGTAGACGGCCAGCCTCAGGGTACATGTGCAGAGCTGTTCCACAGAGCCCACCTCCAGAGAGAAGTTCTGGCTAATGAAGTCCTGATTGAAGCTGCGTCGGCGTGGGGCTGTCTGCTGGGGCACAGGGTGAAGTGGAGGAAGGCAGACACGAGCAAACACCCCCCATCCCCTTCTAGTGTCTCCAGACAGTCTCAGGATGTTGACCACCAAGGTGCCAGAGGCAGAGTTAAAGAGGAGGGAAAAGTGCAGAAGGGGAGCTGGCTTGAGTGAGACAGATAGGGAGCCATAATGGGGGAGGCATGGCTCCCCCTGCTGACTGTTAGCACCAGCAGTAAGGTGACTGTTCTCACTGGAAGCCAAACTTTCCCCACTAACAGTTCTGCGTCTCCCGATCACCAGGCGGGATTTGGATACAAAGCTGAGCTTGGTGAGGGAAGGTAAAGAGGCCCTGCCATGAGTGGAAGCTTTACTGGGGGAGCAGGGGAGAGCAGGAGTACTGAGGCGACGCATTGGGAAGGTAGGCCTGGAGGACTGCAACCGCTCAGCCGGTCCGGAAGGGCTGGGGTCGAACGGGAGATTGCCGAGGTCATCTTCAGATGGAGAAGAACTGCTTTTAAAAGAAAGGTACTCCAACACGTCCCCGTCCAGCTCTTCATACTGCTGCTCCCCAGGCTGAGCACACTGAGAATGAGTCAATGTCACAGTCACGCTGTCAGCGGGACGAGGGAGCAGGAAAATGGTCTCTTTTTCCTCAGAGGAGTCTTTTTTCTGTTTGCGACAGCAAAAGATGCAGCAAAGAACCAGACAGTAGCAGAACACAGCCAGAACCACAGCCAGAAGAACCTGCAGGTGGACTAGAAATGAAAAAATCAGATTTACATAAGATGACGTAGGTGCAGTTTAAAGGTATTATTAACTAAAAACAAAAACTAGAAAATTTACCTAAATTTACCTTCTGTGTCACCGAAACCCATACAGAAAAATTCCATGTGATTCACATGTGCACAACACGTGAGTCACATGAGAATCAAATGTAACTGACATCTTTTTACATGTTAATAAATTAATCACATGATGCACATATTTTCATATTTGAATCGCCTGTGAAATAAGAAACATATGAAACATGTGTTTTAAAAATGAAACCCTTAAAATACAAACATATAAATGGACTATATGCGTCTTAAATGGGAATCACATGTGAAGCACATGCATACATGTATGGATGGATTTTTGACTGTGATTCACATGTGAGATTTTTCCATATTTTCCCCATATTTTTCGCATGTGATACGCATGTGCCTCAAATGTGAATTATATGTAAATTCAAATGGGAATATGTGTATCACATGTGCTTTTAAATTTAAATGTTCCAAATTCACATGTACACAAGCATTTGAGCTTATACATGATGATTTGATAAACAGTTTTTCAAGTGATCCCCATATTTTTCACATGTAATACACATCTGCTTTATATTAAAATGGGAATCACATGTAAAAATGTGTCTATCACATGTGGGTTTAACATGAAATGTTCCAATTCATACGTACATATTAGCGCTCAGATGTAAAACCTACGTGATACAGATTTTTCACATGTGATTTACATCTTTTTTATTTAATGTGGGAAACTGGAACCATGTGAAATTTGTGGGATTTTTTTTGTATTGGAAAGCCCACCACAGCAAACTTTAACTGTGTTTTGTAGGACTAATTGCTGCAGGAAAGGAAACACAAGCAAAAGGTTAATCAGAGACTGACAAATGAAATCGTAGTTAGCGTTTGACTCCGAATGAAGATGAATTTATCGGAAAAAGGATCCTGCTGTAAACTGTTATCTTGTTTCTTCTGCAATCTGTGGGCTTGATGTAATTAACGAGGAAATGCTGAGATAATTGCAGAAATGATATAGCTAGAGTTACTTGGTCTTTCCAGTTTACACATTTAAAATAAAAGCTGTATTTTTTCATAAAACATGTTTTGCATCATGTTTCCTAACCCAGTGTTTATCATTTTTCACAGCTCTCTGAATTAGCATCTAGTTCTTGATGAGTTTTCAGAACAGAAATTGATCGGAGCCACAGTAGCTGTGGTGGAAGTGCAGGGATGACTCATCCACCATCATTTTTTATGTTAAATTAATAAAAGAAAATATGAGGAAGTCAACAAACTATTAAAATGTTTACTCTGTAAACATTAAAGTACATCTTCATCAAGAAGAAAAGATTGAGCACAAAGCTGGTGTGACCTGAAGGGTTTTGCTTCTATAAAAAGATCGTCTCATCAGAGCATAAAAGCTTTTAAGCATGAAACCCACCAAGATCCATAAAGATGAGATCACTATTCATCAAGTGAGCTTCAACACTCCCAGTACAGAGCCAGTACTCCCATCAGAGAGTAGCTGGGAACTCTCCTCCATTAAGAGATGAATCTATACAAAAGCAATATATTTAAAATGATTGGAAAATACAGAAGGAACAAAAATGGACATAAATTACATATTCTATTGTGGAAAATTGAAGCTATATTAATAGTTAAAGTTAAATATATTCTAAACCATTTTTGACATCAGTGTTAAAGTCAACTAAACCAGTCAAAGCTTGACATGAACATAAACATACCAGAATCACATTGATCACTTTTTTTTTTTTTTACTTATTTCCTATACTTTTTAAAAATACAACCTATTTATTACAGCGGATTATTTTGTTTTATTTTTTAAACATAATTAAACTGGATTAATCTAACCCTTTTAAAAAATAAACTCCTGTGTTAAGTTCAGGTCAGGATAATGTCACAGAGGCTCTTATTATTTACCTCGTGCAGCTTGGGCTTTCAGAGAACATTCTTAAAGGAGTCTTAGAATGAAAAACCGAGTTTACATTGTCATAGATGTATAATGGACGTACAGAGAAGTTCAAACTCCATTGACACCTCCTTTCTCTGCAAATTTCACAATTCTAAACTTCCACCTTAAAGCGGGCGAATCCAGACGAAGCCCTGAGTTGACGTAAACTCTGGGATGTTGCCTTATTTGGTTCTGGCCTGTACTTTTGTCCCCCGCTGGCTCCCTGCCCCACCGGGGTTCCTGAACCAGCCCCAGAGCTGATGGATCTCTTCGAGTGCCTTGCGTGTTTCGACTACGTGCTGCACTGTAGTCGACCAAAATCCGTCACTAAGTCTGTCTGACGATTTTGAAATCCCCCCTGGACATTTTTTTAGGTATGAAGAGTAGGACATGTCCTGGAAAAAGAGGACGTCGGGTCACCCTACCACATCAACACTTTGATGTTTCAGTGAGTGAGTGCTTGTTGCTATGATGCGTCTTTGCTCAGCTCGTTGTAAACCAACCAATCAGAGCACAGCTCATCTAAATATTCATAAGCATACCATAAAAGGAAGAAAACCTGTTGTTTCATTCTAGGGCTTTTAACCAGGGTTACATTAGGGCTCATAGAACAGCTAATATGCCATTTTCAGCCCAACTAACGTTACACACCCTATTAGAGACCTTAAGGACCAAATACCCTATAGAATCATTCTATCACCCCTTTAAAATAAGTACTCCTCAAAGTACATTTATTAGAGAGCCTGTTTGTGTTTGGTTATATTTATTCTTCAGTGGTTTGCAAATACAAATGTCAGAGTCAATTTCCATATGTCTGAATTCTCCCTGTCAGATCATTTCTCTACTCTCAGTATAAATCTCCTTCATTCTGGGTGAAAATAAGTCAGAATCTAAGCACCATCCAGCAAAGATGTTCACAAAAGTTGAAAGAAAAAAAAAAACACTCAACCCTTTTTTTATTTCAAACCTTTGAGTTAATTGTTTATCTTTGGTTCATTCAGATCAGGTTGTCCAGACTTGATCCCTTTTTTTCCTTTTAATCTTTTCTAAAACTTAAAATCATAATAATGTTACACTGAAAAATGCATTTTTTTTCTTTTATGATTGACTAGTAAATGCATCTTTGGCCAATTCCTTCTTTGCTCCAGCACGACAACACTCTCCAACAAAAATCTTTATGTTTTCTTAACTTTGGTGCACATAATCGATCATTATACAGCTATAAAAAAACAAACTATATGGCTCACTGCTGCCTGCCTGTAAAATCAGATTTGTTTACCATGTTTGTGCACAAACAAGGAATCTGACTGTTTCACACGCCCATAGCGTAGATATAAACTCTACTGTTCACAGGGATTATTTTTTTGCTGATTTTATTATTTCAACAATTTCTATATTTATAATCCTACAAATCACAATTTATATATACTTCTGAATGGTTGGTTAATTACTTAATAATGATTAGAAATCATTATAAAACTACTGCACTGATCTGATGAAACAAGTATTGATTGGGAACACAATTTTGCTTTCTTTAATTTTGCTGTTGTAGACAGCAAAATTAAAATAATAAGTTAAAATAATAAAAATAAAAATTACATACATTAAATCTAATCTTTATTTTACATGCAAAAGTATTTTTTTTTTTTTTTTTTTTTTTTATCAAAGAAATTGGCTAAGAGTCTGATTTCAATATTTTTAACAGAATACTTTTTTTTAATTAAACGGATGATTAAATCCGATGATATGGTGTGAAAATATGAGTTAAAGTCAGGAAACATTTCCTACCTCCCAGATAAATTTGCGACATCTTTAGCGTCTGTTAAAAAACTGGATCAGTGAGAAGGAAACATCCCAGATGTGTGCAACGATCTGAAAACCTTCCAGAAGAAGCTTCATGTGCCTGGGGAGGGTTCGGATTTTAATCCCAGAATATGAGGCGTTGGAGGGATCCCCAAAAGCCCCGCCTTCTTCCTAACAGCTACAGGCTGGCTTCTATGGAGTGAACTTTGGTCCATTATTTTTGAAAAACAAAGAACACGTTTTGTTAATGTAAATATTATTAAATACTATTTTAAATAAAAGACATACAAATTATATATATATTTTTTTATGTATATATTTTTTCATTTTTATTATCGAAAGTACAAAAAATAAAAAATAACTAAGTCAAACACAATAATAAATCAGTCAAAATGACAAATGAAAAGAGAAATACAAAATAATTAATTGAGCACAAATGAACCTGCAAAAAGAAACCACAACAAAGGATCAAGCAAAAATTGAGTAAATCAAGGAACACAAAAACCTGTAAAGGAAAGCAACAAACAAAACGCAAATCAACAATATAGACACAAACAATACAAACTAAAGCAGGAAAATGATCTTCATAATGTTTGTAACCAGATACAATAGAAAACAGTGACCAATTAGAAATAAAAAAACTTTCAAAATCCAAATCAGGCAAAAAGTTAAAAAGCCTATAAATATTTCTTTTTACGAGACCTTTAAAAACCTTTGTAGTCTCTGGTTTATTTACTTCAAAATGGGAATAGTTTTTTCTAACAGCTATCCTGGCAATCCTTAGAACAAAATCAAAGTTTATACAGGTGTTATAATACTTTTAAATCATTTTTTCCTAATTTTCCCTTTTTTTGTTTTACAGATTTTATATATTACTTTTTCCTCAAGGTTTAATTTTTTCTTTTATTTTAAAAAAAAATAAATTTCCCTTTTTTTTCCCCCTTTCATTATTTTCAAATTTCATTTGACAAATCACATTCTATTTTTATCTGTCTGTCTGTCTGTCTGTCAACCATCTAAGGTTATCAAAAGCATTTATATTATTTTGTAATTAATCTTTTATAAGACCAGCTTTGCTACTAACATCAGTTGTGGACCACAAACCGTCTTGTTCAGGGTTGGTTTTCATATTTCTGGCTATTTGATGCTGCACTATTGTGTTTTGTTTTGTTTGTTTAGTTTTTTTTTTTTTTATCGTTGCTCTTACCTTAGGAAGACAACAGATGGCACAAGTGTGCTTCCCACAAATTCATAAACAGGCTGTTGGCAGGACGAGGGGTTTTATTGAAGCGGTTTTATTGAAGTGGATTTATGAACGCCGCCTTGCTTTGGTACAAATGTTCTATATATGATCTCAGTTAAATATAACTCAGATTATTTCAGTTTTATCTTTGGTTCAACAAACAAAAAAGTGACAAAACACAGTTTAATGTTGGGGTCTAATCTTCTAACCCACATGTAGAAACACTCAAGAGACAGGAAAAAAGTTAAAAGGTTTATTGACAATGTTTTCTGAGAAATGTGAACGTCGTCTTGGTTCGTCAGGCTGGTTATGGGAGGGAAGCAACTAGAGGAGGACAGATCGGTTAGAGTGGATCCAAGAAACTTGCTGTTTAACGGCGGTTTGGGTTAATACCTGCTATTCTGGGGGGGTATTTTGACCGGCAAGGGGGGGAACCTTGAGGGTCCAGAGGCTGATTGGTAGGCTGAGGGCTGAGGGCAGAGGCGGAGACGGAGGCTGAGGGCAGACAGGCAGGTTCCAGGCAGCGAGAGTTTTCTCCAGGAGTTGACTGATGACCAGGCTTGTCAGGATCTGAGAGGCAGAAGAACACAGAGTCAGAGAGGTTCTCAAAAAATCAGGAAAACAGATCAGAATTAGTTGGCTCAGGTTTGCTGGTACCATTACTGGCAAACACTCTGGCCTGGGAAGTGTCAGCCTCCTCCTCCTTAAGAAGGCCTCATGATGAGCAGATGGGAAACAGGTGTGCAGAAGTCAGCTCACGCCCTCAGGAGGAAGATCTCAGGCTCCCTCTGGTGGTGAAAGGTGACAAGCCTCCAGATTCCAACACTGATATAATTTTTTTCTTGGAAATACTGTAGTGGTATTTTATTAACTACTGAATAAACGTGATCACTAAAAATGTTAGACAAGCAAAGTTAAAGTTTGTTTACTTTTAGAGTTCCATAAGCCCTTTAAACCTACCGTAGTCTTGTATGCACTCACAATCCTGCTCCAAGCTTTGGGATGTTTAATCATTTATACTTGGGTCACCAAATGCCCATTTTTGCTCATTGTTCCACTTTAACTGAGGAACATCTTAACTGGTGACTGTCATGCAAATGCTCCTGCTTAAGTCTCTAAAACAGTATAAGTTTTTAAAATAAATTATCTACAGGAAATAGTTTTTTTCATTTGGCCTGACGTAGTCCGACTCAATTCTAGTCAGAATGAGTCTGATGCTGCTCCATAGAGCTGTGATTATGGGGCGTGTTTCGAACGAACCAGGAAAAAAAATGCCTCTGCA